CCTTACTGTAATCCTTGGCTGTTTCCCTTCTCTTTGCTGCTCTTCCTTTTAAATCCTCATGTCTTCTCATGCTTGGGGAGAACTTCCCTTTGCAGCTGAGTGCCTCTTCCTGTAGTGCTGGCTCGGGTTGTGAACCTACACACAGACACCATGTAGCCATTCCAGAGACAAGGCAGTCTGCTGCAAAACAGAAGTTCTGCCCAGCATGAGAAGAGATACAGATTTAAAAGGAAGAGCAGCAAAGAGAAGGGAAACAACCATGGATTACAGTAAGGCACACATTACAGTATTGTTTTATGTTAAAAAATCTGAGGGTTTAATGTCACTTTAATTATTTTTGTTAATTTGTGTTTGATTTTTCTCTCATATTGTAGGTGTATTTTGTCATTTTGTTTTAGACAAAAACTGGGTCAAAATAACAACTACAAAACTTTGAAGATATAGTACACCTTTTACCTTTTCTTTATTTGTTGGTGTATTTTACTGTTAAATGTAAAGAAAAATTAAATGATAATGAAATACACTGAAAAAACCTTAACTCTCCTTACATTTGTCTTACCTTTTCACACCTAATGTCTGAAACAACAAACTACACCCAAAACAAGTAAAATAAAGGCTTGTTCGCCCCCTATGTAATAACAATAAGGTTAAATTAAAAAAAGGGTTATAAATAAACATTAATCAATAAAACTGTGTTTTTTTTTAAAGCAACCCTGTTGCCCTGCACACACAAATGCAAATGTAAACTTAGTGCGCAAATGTGTATGTAAACAGCAATTGCATCCCACGTTAGGAATTGCATCAAAGTATTGCCAGACTGAGAGCAATAATTCTAGGGCACTTATTCACCCGTTAACACTAAATTGATGATCTTTAACTACCTCCCGGCCGGCCGTTGTATATACATGGCCGGCCGGGAGCTTCTTGGATGTAACTGGGCGTGTATACACGTCCTGTTACATCCGTACGCTCGGGCACGCGAGCGGGAAATGCCGTTATTTGAAAAGAGGCAGCGATGCCTGTTAATATACAAGTGATACGCCGGCTATAGAGCGGATCGCTTGTATGAGGTCCCGTGACGTGCGCCCCCTCCGTGGCTCCCCCCCCCCTCCCGCTGTCAAGCTGGTCCCGGGCTCCGGTGTGAGCCCGGGACCAGCATACTGCCTCTGGCACAGGGGATCAGAGGGAGGTCGGTTCACGATCTCCCTCCGGTCCCCTCTCCGCTGTCAGAATGCGGAAGTGGTGTATATTACATCACTTCCGCATTCTCGTGTCACTCTCCAGCTTCAGATGCTGGAGAGAAGCTGATGAAGCAGATCTCTGCTTTATCAGCTTCTTCAGGGGGGTCCTAGGTGACGTTAAGGGTCTTGGAGACCCCTGATGTCTCAATAAAGAGGACCTGTCACCTCTTTTGCTATCACATAGAGGGGTTTCTCAGCCCCCTCTGTGATAGCAATAAAGTTAAGTGGAAAAAAAATAGGAAAAAAAATAAAGTTTTCCCTCAAATTTTTTAAAAGTTACACATAAAAAAGAATTTAACCCCTTCATGACTGAGCTTGTTTTTAGTTTCTTTTTGTAAATGACTGACACACTTTTGACATTTTTGCTGTGTGATTCTTCCACATCAGTAATATACTTCCTTACAAAGTGCACCCACACATATTATATATTGTTTTTTAGAGGACAGATAGGGCTACAAAATTTCGTTTTTGTGAGGTTTCGTGCGCGGGCGCAATTTTTAAGCTTGACATGTTTGGTGTCTATTTACCCGACGTGACCCCGTCTTATATATTTTACCAAAAAAGTGGGTAATATTAGTTGTTTTATCACATAATGTTAAAAAAAAACTATTTTTTTCTCAAAATTTTCAGTAATTTCTCTTGAATATAGTAAAAAATAAAACCCGTAGTGGTGATTAAATACCACCAAAAGAAAGCTCTATCTGTCCCCAAAAAATTGTATAAAATTCATTTCAGTACAGCGTTGCATGACGGAATAAATGTCAGTCAAAGTACTGCAGAGCTGAACACTGAAAAATGGCCTGGCCAGGAAGGGGGTCTAAACACCTGGTCTTCAAGCGGTTAAAGGCTTTGCCTATAGACAATTTTGGGTACTGTAGTTTTTTTGGTACAGTTTTATGGAGCATACAATTTTAAGGCTTGATACGTTTGGTATCTATATACTTATCGCAACCCCATCTGTTATGTTTTAGTATTAAATTGGGTTTGCGTGCACTTATATTCTGTTTAGTGTATTTTTAAATATAATTTGTTAAACAATTGCGCTAATATTGTGCAAAATAAAAAAACTGCAACTGCCACCAGTCTATTCTACAGGGCCTCTGCTTTCAGAAAATAAAGAACATTTGACTGGTAAATGGTCAATTAATTTTTAACTAGAAAACATGAAATCCTCTATTTTGCATTTCCCAAACTTTAACAAAATGACTCCCTAATTTTGGCACTGTAAAGCAAAACTGGTTAAAATAAAAAGAAGCAAAATAAAAATTTGTGACGTTGAGCTGTCAAAATGGTTTATTATGATTAGTATGATTAGGATAAGTTACTAAAGTTCATTGCTTTCTCTAAATTCTACAAATGTGGATTTTTACAGTTCTTCCCATTAACAATTGTATCAATAAATGAAAGCAATATTATGTAAACAATCTCAGGCAGGGTCATCATAATTCATTAGTGCTGACTCACTAATGAATTGTTTTGACAGGTCAGTAGTGGAATGTATTTGTATACAAAACAAATACATTCTGAAGTGTTTAAAAAGGTGACCCAAAATCCAGTGTTTTCTCCCTCATGTTTTGCATATTGTCTGTATATTGTGTTGTTTTTTTTAAGGTACTTTATACAACAGAAAAAAATGGAGTACAAATAGAATCTTTGAAAATGTTAAGAGATAGAGAAAGAATAACACAATCATGTGCCAGCATTAAAAGTTGCTATGTTGACCCTTTTTTGCTTAAAAAACTCAAATAAGGACAAAAATATAACACAAATTGAGAAAAAAGGCACGGAAAATAAATATTTTTTAGGGGCATTAATTATGTTTTATTTAAAAAAATATGTATGACCATGGCCAAGTGTGATTACACAAATTACAGAAAAATAACACTATAAAATTTGTCAAACTGTAAAAACATTTTATGTGCAATCAAAGCTGTAATGCTGATGGAATGTTATTAAAGGTGAATCAATTCAATACATCAGATTAAATGAGGGAAAACGCAGGAGGAAAGGTGGAGAGGGGGATTTTGTTCCAAATGAGGGACAGTTAAGGACTATGCATATACAGTCTGTTTCTGAACTCTTTATTATGTCTATATGTGCCTAAGATTAGCAGAGCTAGGTTAGCCCATACATAGGGCCTTATGTACACTGGCCTCTTGCATTAAACACAGAAGAAGTTATCCGGGAAGTATAAACAATTTTTAAGTCCCAGACACATGGCAATGAAAATACGCGCTGTCAGGTGTGTTTAGAGCTCATTACTAAACACACCTAGAAACCTGTAATGCTTTGCTATGGCTTAATGGAAACCTAGACATTCAGCAGCATATAGGTGCATTTAGCGTAGCTGCGTTTACAAAAATGATTGTTCGTGCTGCTAATGCACCTAGACTGAATGTATCTAAACTCTGCTGAATGTATCTAGACTCTGCAAAATGCACCTAGACCCTGCTGAACATACCTAGACCCTGCGGAATGTACCTAGACCCTGCCAAATGCACCTATATCCTCCTGAAGGTGCCTAGACTCTGACAAACGTACCTAGACCCTGCTGAATGTACCAAGAGCCTGCCAAACGCACATAGACCCTGGTGAAAGTACCTGGACCCTGCTGAACATATCTAGAGCCAGTTGAATGTACCTAGACCCTGCTGAAAGTACCTAGACCCTGTTGAAGGTACCTAGACTCTGCTGAACATACCTAGACTTTGCTGAATGTACCTAGACTCTGCTGAACATACCTAGACTTTGCTGAATGTACCTAGACTCTGCTGAACATACCTAGACTTTGCTGAATGTACCTAGACTCTGCTGAACATACCTAGACTTTGCTGAATGTACCTAGACTCTGCTGAACATACCTAGACTTTGCTGAAGGTACCTAGACCCTGCTGAAAATACCTAGACTCTGTTGAAGGCTCAACATACATAGACCTTGCTGAATGTACCTGGACTCTGCCAAACATATCTAGACCCTGCTGAAGGTACCTAGACCCTGCTGAAGGTACCCAGACTCTACTGAGGGTACCTAGACTTTGCTGAAGGTACCTAGACTCTGCCAAACATATCTAGACCCTCCTGAAGGTACCTACACTCTGCTGAAGGTATCTAGACTTTGCTGATGGTACTTACACTCTGCAGAAGGTAGCTATACCTTGCTGATGGTACCTAAACTCTTCTGAAGGTATCTAGACCCTGCTGATGGTACCTACACTCTGCTGAAGGTATCTAGACCCTGCTGATGGTACCTACACTCTGCTGAAGGTATCTAGACCCTGCTGATGGTACCTACACTCTGCTGAAGGTATCTAGACCCTGCTGATGGTACCTACACTCTGCTGAATGTATCTAGACCCTGCTGAAGGTACCTACACTCTCCTGGAGGTATCTAGACCCTGCTGAAGGTACCTACACTCTCCTGAAGGTATCTAGACCCTGCTGATGGTACCTACACTCTGCAGAAGGTAGCTAGGCCCTCCTGATGGTACCTACACACTTCTGAAGGTATCTAGACCCTGCTGAATGTCTAGGTGTGCATTTAGTTATAGCAAAGCAATACATGCTTCCAGGTGTATTTAGAAATGAGCTCCAAACACACCTGAACACATGTATTTTGGCGGCCCTGTGCACAGGGCCTAGAGGGTTGGTAAAAAGGGGCATTCTGTTATTGTTTATTTATACTGTTGAAAAAAAATTAGATTGATAACGCTAAGTATTTTTAAACAGCTTTATTAACAAGTAACATCGAGCAGCTAAAGCAACCTCAGCAGCATCCAGCCAGGAGCACGGGACAGCGGTGACATGACGTCACGGGGGGCGGGGTTATCATGGCGGCTGAGACAGCTGCTGAGGAGCCGATGCGGTCCTGTTAAGCACCGAGCAATTGCCGGTCATGGAGTGTCCCTTTCCGGTGGTGGCAGGTGCGGGGAGCGGGGTGGCGAAGGCTTCAGAGCTCACGGAGCAGAATCCGGAGCAAGCGATGGCGGCCTCGGGGTGCGGGCAGCAGACGGATGACAGCGCCCGGGTACCAGCTCCACACGGCGAACAGGCGGCCCCGGATACCGAGAAGCCGCAGCAGGCCTCGGAAAGCAGCGAGAGCGCCCAGGGCGGAGAGCCCGGGCCCGCTGTGGAGAAGGCGTCCGCCGCCTCCATGACTCCCGAAGAAGCGAGCAGCAGCGGCGGCCACAGCATCCCCGGCGCCTCCCAGAGCCTCGACTCCCTGGAGTCCTTCTCCAACCTGCTCTCCTGTCCCAGCTCCGAGCTGAACAGTGACGGCGCGGAGGACAGGCTGCCCGGCACCGAGGAAGACGACGATGGCCGGGAGGCTGCCAGGGACAGGTACCCGGGACAGTCCGTCTATCACATCAAATGGATCCGCTGGAAGGAGCAAAGCACCCCCATCGTCACCCAGAACGAGAACGGGCCGTGCCCACTGCTGGCCATCATGAATGTTCTGCTGCTGGCATGGAAGGTACAGCCCTGTGCATCCCATCTTATCCCCTGACATCTCACCATTGTATTATCACTGCTGATGATAGAATACTACAATTTAAAGGCATCATCCTTCTTTATCCAAAACATTCATAAATCAAAATGGCAATTTATTACTTATTGCATTGCAACCATGATCAGTGGAACCGAGGTACAGACCTTTTGGTTATGGAGCTGGAGCAGGTAATCGATGGGGGGACGTTACAACACTTGTGCTCCATTGTGATCTGTGAGTCCCTCTGCCACAGTGAGGGGAATTTATCAGAACTGGAGCAGACAGAATCTGCAGCAGTTGCCCATGGCAACCAGTCGGCTTCAAATCTTCAATTTTTAAAGCTTAACTGAACAAACGGAAGAGATAAGATGATTGATTTAGGTGGCCATACACTGCGAATTTCGGCCTGTGATGAATTAGCACAGTGTGTGCCGCTGTTGGCACCCTTTCTGCTGGCATCCCTTGATCAGCTGATTAAAGGAGCCGGTCGGAAAATCTTCTTATGAACAGAGCCAGCAGCCAATGAGCAGCTGGCTCTGTTTGGGGCTGGCTGGACGCTGTTAGAATGCAATGAAGGCAGTGGGTTATTCCACGACCAATGCTTGTAAGCGTTGATCGAGGAATCTGTTTTATTTTATATTCTATTAAAATAGAACCGTGTATGGCTAGCTTTACAATGGGCAACTGCTCCAAATTCTCTGTGCTCCAGTTTTGATCAATTCCCCTCTAAGAGCTCCGGCTGATCCTTCGGCTAGTTTCGGCCCCAGGACCCCTTCGTTTCAGTAGAACCGAAGGGCTGCTGTACGGGCTATTCACTATAGCCCGTAGAGCTCCCGAAGCTGGCCGATCGGCTTAGCCGAGCCGAAGGCATATGCTTCGACTCGACTGAGCCTATGTGAAACCCGAAGCGGGGCGAATGGCCGTCCGAAAGCCTCGCAAATGACAGCTGGGGCGGAGCCAGCCATGATTTCACAGCTGGCTCCGCCCAGTTGCAATGACAGTTCAGTGTCCACAGGTTACCTGGGGACGCTGAACTGTCATTAAACAATGACAACTTGGCGGAGCCGGCCGTGACATCACCACTGGCTCCGCCCAGTTGTTATTCATTGGCCGGGACCTGCTAGAAGACTCTAGCAGGTCCCAGCCAATAGAACAGTTGGGCAGAGCTAGCTCTCATTGCTAGCTCCGCCCAATTGTTTCTTTTTTTCTTTCCAATAAGCTTTCATTTTTTTTTTAATCTTTATGTATTTTTTTTAATTGATCATTTATTTACATTTCTAAAAAATGTTTCCTACTTTTTATTCCCCTACTTTTTCTACTGTTTTTCTATATTGCTCGATACCACAGAATAGCCGAGCCGAATGCCGTTTGGCCCCTATGAGAATAGGGTAGAATGGTAGCGAGTAGCCTGCCGGAGGTTCGGCTCAGCCGATCCAGATGTTGGATCCGCTGAGTCGAACTCCTTCTGCCTTTGGCTCATCCCAACATGCTGAGCATGTTCGGCTGAACCGAAGCAAGCCGATGTACGGCTGATTTCCCAATCACAAAAACAAAAGCGTTGGTGTTTTGTGTTATCCTGCTGTGGCCAACAGGGCCATCGAACATGGTGGCTCTTCCCAAAGCTGAATTTTGGAAGGTAGTATATTTTCCTTTATGAAGACATGGCCCTCACAATGTTGTGATGTTGAATGATCCCGGACAGAGCAGAGAGAATCTGGAACCCATGGATTCATTTACCATCTCATGACTTCTGATCTCCAGCCACTGACTGATAGTCAGTAAGGAAGAGTCCAACCTGACCTTATAGGCCCAAATGAGGCATTATGCAAGCAGTTGGAAGACCTCTAGGGCCCCTAATCATTTCCAATTTACTCACTCCTCCTCTTCCCCCTTTTCTTTTCCTTTTTCCTGCTTCTCTTCTTTCTCTGAATTTGTCTCTTTTTGTATAAATCTTTAGGGCCACTTCACACCATCTGCATTGGAGCTGCCCCGGCTGTTGTTTTCAAAGCAGCCCCAACGCAAGACAGGGCATTTGCCTTATCAAGGACGGGCTAGGTTGACACCACCGCTTTGCGATGAGAACATGGTGGTGTGCGCTGTAAAAAGTAGGGCCTGCTGTGCTTTTTTTTCAGCACAGCGGAATGTGAGGCAGTGCTATTGCCTCGCACCCTGCTGTGCCCGTAGAACTGCATGAAATGTCGCCAGTGACATATCAATAAAGTTCTAACAAAAAAAAAGAGTGCACAGTGTGATGTGCTGGGATCAGGGTTTTCGTCGCTGTGCCAGGGCACCACACACCGGACGCTGTGCCATTAGTGCAGCGTCTGGTGTTGAATGGGCCCTTAGTGTTCAATACATAACTGCACTGGACATTTTCATGGCTGATGACTTCAGGTTCATATTTTCCTGGGATCTCATACTTGGGAATTATTCCTGTAGTTAACCATGCCGTTCCTCATCCCTGATATATACACTGAATGTATCCAATATGTTTTCCTCTCTGTGTTGGAGAGACGACACTTTACTACATTATTGTGTTTCTTTGTAGACTTTTTTTTTTTTAATGCAAACAAAATCTATGGGAAAGGTAAGTGCAGCCCTGATATGTGTATGATGGAGATGTTGTTTTTTTTATTTTCAGAGCCTGATGAGTAAGATACACTAGGCAGTTGCTAAGAGTTATGTAACCTGTGACAAGGCCAGTCATTTCATGTGCTTGATCTTGGTAAAAAGGATTTTTATTTTTATCTTTATCTCTGTTACTATGCATACTTGGGAGTATGAAGTCCCATGCTTATAGGACACCTCCAGTATTCATCTTTGCACCAGCTCATTGTTATGCTCAAGTTTATTTCCATCTTTTACAGGTGTAATAAAACAGTAGTTAGCAGTGCTAATAACAGGGCTGTGCAAACTATAGTAGCATTTAGCTTTTGCAGATTTGTAACTCATAGCTGTTGAGGTGATTGCAAGAAGATTTTATTTGGATGCTGTGGGGTAGTTCATTTTGTCTTAATAAATACGTGTGTGTATATAGTGCACAGTTTAATCCATTATAATATGAATAAAGCACACTTGTCCTACTGGTTTGACTCTATTTGTCAATAGTATATCCAGCCAAAAGATTGTATCTGTTTTGGATAGCGTGCAGAAGGATTAGAACCAATGTCGAGTTTCTACTGCTATCTCGGGGTTCCATTAAAGACTTCATACTGCTTGCTTACTGGTGTACCGGAGACGATGGTTTTACCAGACAGGAAGTGAGGTAATATAGAAAAATATTATTTGAATAAAAATCAATTAAAAGCTGAGTCCTTGCTTTTCCGTTCCTCTGTCTCCCTGTTGCAGATTTTCCCTCACTTTCTGTCCTCTAAATTCAGATGTTGCCTATCTATAAAACAAATTTGCATACTATTCATCCAGCCAAACTGCATGTCCATTAGTACTGTATGAAGTAACCAGCTGTTGTGAGAATGGGGCAAAATCGAATGTTCTCAAGGCTATTCTTTTAGGGATGCACTGATACTGATACCGGTATCGGTGCTGTGCTTGTGAAAATGCCACGATACTAAATGCTGATTCCAGCACTTTACATTTATAAAATGAAGCGGGTGCCTGAGGTCCCGCATTTGCTGGGGACCTCGGCAGCCTTCCTATGAACCATGCAGTGCCTGTTTATAGCACCATCCGCACATCTCCTCCTCCTGGGGAACCTCGCTGCCTGCAAGACCCTCTGGACACCTGGTGAGACCCTGCACTGCCCATCTGAGATCCTCCACTGGAGACATCAGACCACCAGCCAAGAGCAGCACAGAGTATGTAGCTTCATATTATTCTGCATTGCTGTATAATGCTGTGATTTGTAGTCCTCTATAGCCAGTTGCCATTCAACTTTGCTCTATAATGTATTGCTGGAGTTCGTAGTCCTCTATAGCTGATGGTATTATTCTGCATTCTGTTTGGATTGGTAGTCCCCCTACAGCTTAGCTTTAGTGGCAGAACTACCAGGGTTGCAGTGTTTGCAGCTGGGACCGGGCCCTGGCTCTCCACCACTGTCCTAAAATCATTAGTCTGTAATGTAACGTATTGTTTTAAAAAAACTGTCACTGCCCTCCTCCCTCCCTTTTTTTGACCACTCACACCTTGAAACTGTGGGATCGTTATGTTGCCTCTCTGTTCGGCAACCCAGCTTTCCCTCCCGCAGTGTCTAGATCCTCGTTTGGCAAATGGACTAGAGACTCTCGTCGTCGTATGGTCTCGGCTTTGCGAGACCAGTCCTTAGAGACGGATGAAAAAACAAGCCTTCCCAATGTGCGCCCTGCTATAAAGGCCGGTTATAGATTCATGCATGTACCATTTTTTTCTAGTTTGACTATTTTGGGTTAGGGGGGCGCACTGGAGTCCCAGCGTGCATTTTTGGTTGCTGGGCCTCCAGTGCGTCCCTGCACCTCATCAGGAGGAGTTGGCTACCTCCAGGTACACCTGCATGTAATTTATCAACTTCATTAATATGCTCACACTTGGAGACTCGGATACATAGAGTTAGGACCACACTTTGCAGAGGTGCCTTGCGCGGCAGTGTGGCTTCTACATATTTTTGGCCAAAAGTTTGTGCAACTAAAACCTCTGATTTTAACGCATACTGTTGACAGGGCTACTTGTTTGGTTGCAGGCTGGCTGGCAGGTTGAGGCTGGGGAATTTTTGTGTTTTGTCTTAGAGACGGATGTTTGCCTAGGTGTAGACCCTGGGAATTGGTTAGCGGAGGGGCAGTTTCACTCTTTTGTTTCTTCCAGGATCAGGCTGTTTCAATAAGGATCCCAGGTCCTTTTATTTCCTCCACTTGGACTCATCCCCCAAACCACTCTGTCTCCCTTATCTACTCCATTCTTTCCTCCATGGCCTTTCCAACTCTGCCAGCCTACACCTCCGCGTGGGTGCTCAATTTGGGAGCTCCCATTGAAGCAGTAGACTGGGAGAAATCATT